GCCGAAGATGTTTCATCAGAGGAAGAGAATGCCAGAGGCTCGGCTTTCAAGCTTGGCAATGACAAATAAACCTCATGATGAAGGAACAAATACATTCACAAGGGGCTCCAGAGGAAACAGAAGGGGATAGAGGGCAGCCACCTGCAAAATCACCATAAGGCTCAACTATCCCAAATGGGCGTGGGAGCCACAGAGGATATAACTGCTGAAGTGGACAAAGAAGGTCCATCTGCTGTAATGTTGCCATCTACTGGCAGCTTTTTATCAAAGCATGACAGCGCCATGACTTTAAATCAGAGTTCTGCAGTGTGCAGGATTTTTAGAAGCACATGAAACCACAAGATCTCATTATGCTTTTTCATAATGTAGTCTGAACAACATGTCCTGTTGTATGCACTTTGGCACAGCAGCGTGCAACACAATTCCAGAGAGTTATGCCATTTGCTGGCACAGCCCACTTTGGGCACTCAGTCACAGCTTGTTATTAGAGCTCAGCATCAAGCAATCAAAAGGTAAACAACACAATCAAGTGCTGCAAGATTTTGGAGGGAAAACAGCAAAAAAGCCATATTTTCCTTTCTCCATCTTTTCTTTTATCAACTCCTGATGTGAAAGCAGTAGTTTGCCATTCTTGAAAATCTGCCAATTCACATTCTTGCGCAGAGTTGGAGAAGATTCACAGAAGTTCTGTACTGTAAATGCAAAACAAAGAACGGGAGCGGTTAGCTTAGCTTGGATTTTTACACTTTGATTTTTATACAGCTAAATAAATAAGATAAGACTATTACTGAGTGAGCTTTAAAGGATTTTGATGGCAGAATTTATTAGCCCTGGACAAAATATGACTAGCTGTTTCCTGGCTTGCAATCTTTAAACTAAGCTAAGCTAATTTCCTGCTAACCTGAAAGTTTAATTATTAGCAATATAGCTAGATTTCTCGGCAAGAAAGCAAATTAGAGATTTCTTAAGCTGACCTGAATGCATCAAAGCTTTGACCAATTCCATGTTAATTCTTTCTAAATTAATACTGAAATTAGTATTTTTTCTTTTTAATGGTAGGCACTCCCACAGATACTTTAAACAGAGCATGAATGCCCCAGTCGAAATATTCAGTTCTCCACGAAACTTTGAGGTCTCTATTATGCTTTTTCGGACAACCTTAGACAGTTTCCATGAATTTCCAAATATTCCTCTGAATAGAAATTAAAGTCAGATTTTGTTTACTTTCCGATCATGACTTGGATTGCAAGGAACAATAAAAGTTGTCTTTGATAAAATTCCTCTCAGAACCTAATTTCGGATTTTTACTCGTGCCAGTGATGTCACACATTGGTTTTCATTTTGAAGCCTCGTCTTGAGTATTCTGATTTTTGCCAGATTCATTTTTTTGTAGCCAGATCCCAAGTCAGATGTTTATATGACACCTACACAGTAGTCACTTGTCAATAGCAGCATCCGGAACTATACCCCACTGAATCATGTTGTAAAAAATATGACTAGACCCTAAAATTGAAACCATAAACTAACAGCATTGTCATTTTCTCATAGACTGACTTCCCGCCCCTGCTATTTGTATACTACCTTGTCAGATCTGGAGACTCTGTCCCTTGTTTATATACAGTCTATGTCCATGCCAAGTTTGTAAAATCTCTGATTGTGAGCTTTTTCAAAAACTTTTCTTACTCCTAGATTATTCCTGTTCAGTAAAAAATAACCTGCCATTTTCAGAAAGAAGCAAAAGAAAAATTTCATGTTGGAGATATAAGCTTTACTAAAGCTTAGTTATCCAAATACTGTTGAAAAGGAGCTTTCTTAGGGATTCAACAGCCAGTAGGAGCTGCCATCTCCTTTTCTGTTCTGCAGAACTTTTCCTTCATTGGCCCACTGAGAAAACTCTGAAGCTACTTCCTTTTGGCCTGGCTTTATAGGGATGCAAGTCTGTTCTCTGGATTTCCAGAACTGGAAGAGCTGCATGCTGGCACACCTGAGTAGGACACACAGGAAACACTGCTACCATGCCAGGAACACTAATAGCGCTGCATGAAAAGTGAAACATTTTGTGGGTATCTTGGCAATTTATACAAACATGAGTACCAGTGAATTTTGCCCTTGGACTGTAAGAAACTGTGTGCTCACACACGCGCGCGCACACACACACACACACGCACACCCACACACACTAAACAATCCTCAGTCCCACTCCACAGATTAAGCCCAGATGGGAACAATGAGATGAGTATGAGGGCTTTTGCAGTGTAACTGAAAACACTTGGTCTTGTTAACGCACTCCAAAAACTTGCTCTATCCATCCATCACTGGCCAGATGTTCTCTGAAGCTTTTTCCTTTACTCCTCAAGAGGGCCCAATCCCTCTCGAAATTAATTCACTTCCCATTCCACTTGCGTCCACAACAAAGGTATTCATAAAAGCTAATTGCATAGTTTGGGGTCTTTATGATCAAGCGATCGAGCTGAGGAGCGTATTTCAGAGAACAAGCGATGTTGTTGTTGACGGACGCTCACTTGGGACCGTTTGCACGTCGTGACCCCACTTAATCCTGCCATTAGGCCCCAAAGCTTCCCAATCCTGAGGACTTCAACGCACTCTGCTCCCTGCATTAGGACTCTGAAAGGGACCATTTCCTTGAGTAAACATCAAAATCGGTTGCTTTTGTGGCTAATTTCCTTCTGAATTCCAGCTTAGCAATTAGAGGAAAGGCATGTGGTGAAGTGAGTGTGGCAGCCCCAACACTCTGAAGTCTGATTTATATCCATCAATTCTTACAAGCCATACTCCACATAAAGTTCAATAGAGCTGTCACAGTAACAGGCTCTTTGTGTTTCTGTGTTTTATTTGCATCTTTATTTGGAAAAAAAAATCACTTCATTTTGTGTTTGAAGAAAGCAGATTTTTTTAAAGTGCTGCTAATATTCCCTGTGAATGGGAGAGTGATCCCAGCAACATCTACATCTACCCTAACCCTTATAATAGATAGATAGATAGATAGATAGATAGATAGATAGATAGATAGATAGATAGATAGATAGATAGATAGATAGATAGATAGATAGATAGATAGATA